AAAAGTCTTATTGTATCTAAAATACTTAATTGTTGAAAAGTTGTGATAAGTTTAAAGAACATGTAATTGTGCTTTGCCTTCTAGAATATATAATCATCTTTTTAAAATAGAGTAGATTATTTTTGAACTCAAATTTAGAAGTATCATGAAACTTAAAAGTATTATGCTTAATATCATGAATAAGAGGATTAGAGGATATACTCAATTGAACATATTTAAAAAAAAAAAATGAATCAATAATCAATGTTGATTTCATTGCTCAAAGATGAAAATACTCTAGCTTCAAGAAAATTATTCTTTATTGATCAAAAACTACATTTATTATTTTGATGTAAAATAAGAATGTTTTAAAAGAATTTTTAACAACCTTTCTCATTTTCATAGTCAATAAGTGATTTTGAAATCAAATCTTGATAAAGATATGCTCCAACAAGCTTAGGAACAATTCAAAACACGTAATCCCATGAAGTAAAGATTCTTGTAATCTATCTATATAATAACCAAATTGGAAGTGCCTTCTAGGTAATGATACTATTCTTGAAATGAATTCATAAGTACAAAAAGCTCTTTGTTGTAGATTTTGTAGTTAATATTGATTGCTAAAAATTTCTTAAAATGAAATATTACTAGATCGAACTTATTATTTGTTCTCATTTGTGATAGCTTATCTTTAATTCACCTCCTTCTTTGGTACATATAAGGTTGTATGCTCTTTGTAGATCTATTTTTGTATAAATCTTAACTTGATAGAATTAATCAAGAAGTCCTAAAATCAAACATAAGAGATATATTCTTGATGGTGAACTTGTTGAGCTTTTGATAGTTTATATGTATTTACAATAATTGATCTTTTTTATCACAAATAAGATAAGAGCTACTATTAGAGATTAAAAAAATGGTGTAAGCAATTCTTAACCAAGTTCTTATCAATGTACTTCTTGAATGCAACCAACTTATTTTGCAATAAGATATAGTTTGGTCCAAATAATGAATAAATTTCTTCTTGAAGATCAATTGAATAATCATATAGACAATGCTTTAAAAAGATATGTACATTAATCTTTTCAAAAATATCTTAATAATCTTGGTATTGACTTGAAATGCCATCTATGATCTTTCCACTATCAAAAATAGATATGGTGTACATGGCAAAAATTAGCTCTTGTTTTGTAACATGCATGAAAGTTCTTGCATCTACCAATAAAGATTTGATTGTATTGGACTAATAGGTTTTTATTTTGCTTTAAAAAATCTTTGGCTAAACTATACAAAAAATTAAGATTAAAAAAAATCTATTTAAAGATTATATTTTTTTAGACATAATAATTCTAAAATAATTAAATTAAAATAACATCTAATTATATAAAATATTACTAAGATATTAAAAATATTAATTATTACTTTTAAAAAAATAATATTAAAAATAACATCTCTAGAAGATAACAAATGATCATCTATTATTTCTACATGCACAAGTTTGATTTTCTTAACTAAAGATATTTCTTACTTTTTGATAAAGTCTTCATTAGTAAAAAAAAAAAAAAAAAAAAAAAAAAACTAAGGCTCTTCAGTCTAATAAGGCAAAGACTTTGTGATTTTTTGGTCTTAAATAAACTACTATTATAAAATAAGATGAGGGATCTGATGAGAGAATAGAACCTTTACTAGGTATTGCTGAAATTTCCAATTGCATGGTTCCTATTATAGTTGGAAAAATTTGTTTTTTGACACATTATCTTCTTTGGCAACCATGCTCTTTATTTTGTGATTACATTACTTCTTTAAATAATGTTGAGTAGTATACTTGGATTCTCTACAATATAGGCACAAACTTTGTTGACAATATTAAGTCTTTTCTTGCTTAGTAAGAAATTTGAAATGTACTATGTCAATTTATATAAACTCTAGCTTCAATGAATAAGCTTTCAAAAACTTAAAAGATGTTGTTATAAGTTAATTTATACATCTCCAACTAGATCTTTATTCTTGGCAACTTTCAAAGAATTGATTATTACAAAATCCTAAATCCTAAAACTAAGATATTTTTAGATAGAATATGGCTAAGGGCTTTGAAACCTATACTTATGATCTAAAATATCCTTATGAATTTTCAACTTTTAGATAATATTGGAGCATAGAAGAAGTCAACAATAAATTATAATAGATATTTTTAGTAAAAACTCTTTACATATGATATCATCTACAAAACCAATAGATGATTTATTTGTGCTTGAAAGTAGAGCTAGAATAGATGGAGTTAGTAAAAGAAAAGCATATATTATTCTAGTTAAGAGTAAAGGTATATAATCTTGTAACTAGAAACCAAAGAAAGTACCATTATCAAATAAAAAGTCTTTACAAAAAAAAACTTGTCAAATAATAAGATATAAGAAATGAACATAGAGATAGAATTCATTAGTATAAAGGTACAAAAAATGCAAGCATATATAGGCTCTTGTAAGATTTTTTTTAGTTTTAAGTTTAATAACTTAAATGGATTTTTAAAAAAATAGTTAAAATTTAACAAAAAATTAATAACTTAATTTTTAGAAATTTATATAAGCTTAATATTTTTGAAAGAGATGGAATTAAGTTAAGATACAAAGAATTATTGGATGATAGATTGGTAGAACTTTTAGATTGAGAATATGCATGTGCAATAGTAATGTTAGCTAAAAATAATATTTTTGAAAATTGAACAAATCACCATAGACAAATAGAAAAATCAAAAGATTTTATAATAACTATAATATAAAGAATTTCTATGTAATATTATATTTCAAAATAAAAACTATTTAGCTTATTAATTAACTAGGTTTTATTAGAAGAATGGTCTTATATTTTGGAAGTGGCAAGATAGAACACAAAAAATGGTTTCTTGTTTTAACCAACCCTTTTAATTAATACATCAAGTTTATAAAGACTAAAAATATTTGAGTATATTATATGTATTTAATATTATGTGATCATTATTGGTGGATGAATATGCATCAAGAAGTAGCAACTTATGTAAAGAGATGTGAAGTTTGAAATCAAGTTAATTCAAGCTCAAACACTTAGTTTTTCTAATTGTATCATTTATCAATTATAGAATTAGGCTATAAGTAGAGTCTTGATTTTATTAGACTATTATTTACCACACCACAAGGTTTTAAGTATGTACTTGTCATGGTAAAGGATTTTAGTAAGTGAATTAAGTGGGTGGATTTATCAAAAAAATCTTAGAGTTAGCAATAATGGCATCTTTAATTTAATATAAAATTTCCACAAAAGTATTGATAGATCAAGAAAGAAAATTCATTAAATCTTTTGAAGAATTATCTACCAATAGCTTTATTAATCATCATACAACATGTAAAAACTATCTAAAGACTGATAGATTAGTCGAGAGGGTAGTTTTGATAACCAAGTATAGATTGCATAACTACAAGTTGTTAATAGACAACCATTGAAATTAAGATTGGAAGTTACCTTAGATAGTAATGGTTATTACTTTAGTTGACATGCATGTCTTAGATTATTTAGTTCTTATTAATAGTATACTACTATTAGTAACAACAAAAAATTGGATATAATTTTTGACCTTGATAATTTGAAAGTTTGAACTTGAATATAATAGGATTGAATTAAATATTTTGAAAGGTCCATGCTAATGGCTATGGAGAACTTGAATACAATGTAGAATAGAAATACCTTAAGATATGCACAAATGATTTGTGGAGCTAAGAAATCTCAACTTCAATAATTTAAATTTGATAAATATATATATATATATATAGAATGAAGCATCTACAACTTTGAATATACAAGTAGGAAGGACCTCTTAAAAATTAAACTAATCTTACTTAAAGGAGTTTTTATTTGTTTTTAAATCGAGATAGATAAGAATGTATGGACATTACAAAGAATTGTGATCCTTATCACTTACTTATTGAAAGAACTATATATACTAAATTGCTAGTTGTTCCAATTGAACTTTGATATTTTATGTGTGGAAAAAGCATAAGTGCAACTATTATGTTATTATATTATTTGTATCAATAGAATTAGCATGTAGTATGTCTTTGACCACCATTAGCCAATCTTCTAAAAAAATGTTGGATTTATTTATAGTATAGGCATTGATGAATTTTATATCTTTGAATTGGTAGAAGTACTTATCTTGCTTATAGATAAAGGACATATTCACTATTTTAATATTTTGGATAGAAGTATGAGTAGTAAAACATAGCTTTGAAGCTTGGTTGGAAATTGGTTGGAAGAAACTATAATGGAAGCAATAAGGATGGAGCTTAATTGCACCCAATTTACTTTTCTAATGATGTTATAGTTGAAGTTTTTAATCAATTGGGAGTCTAGCTAATTAAAAAAAATTACAAAATATGCCGTATATGATAGATTAGGGAACATTGTGAAATTCTCCAACACTTGTTTTTTTTTTTGTTAGTTAAGTTAAGAAGATGCAGTGCTCAACTAGGAAGGCAATGGTATGGCAATACCATTGTTGATAAGGACAAAGGGATGTCCTATTAGAACATTGACCAAAGTAAAATTACCTTTAAAAAGGTCACAAAACCATAACAACAACATCAATGTGGTAGATGCAACATAATGTTGGGTAAAAATAATAAAATTTTAGATAGAAATATTAATTTTGTATATTTCTGTCTTACATGCCATAAACAATGTTGTATTTCAAACTTTACTAAGTTTATCTAAAAGTGAGAGATTTTACAAAAAAAATTAAAGTTGTCTTTAAATTAATAAAATTAACCATTTAAAGGATCAATACTTTTAAAAAATAATTTTTTTTAATATCCCAATACATTACTATTATATTGTATATCAAATCACACATCTGAAATTTTGATAAAAAAATATTCATTTGTCTACAACTGTGTTTATTACTACATATATACCTCATTATACAAAATTATAAAAACAATGCTTTACATCAAAATGTATTTCAAAATCTAAATCCAACAATACCAATCTCTGGGTCAGGTACAATCTTTTTTTTAATTTTGAACATAATTGGATAATTACGTGAGGAACCTAACAACTTCCACATGTTGGATAGTGAATCCACAATGACTCCATCCATTCTTCCTTATTCTCCGCATATTATTGTTCCTGAAATTCCCTAGTTGTGATACAAACTCATGGAAACAAAGAATCATGTTCCACCTCGGGTGTCTTTCTCTCCATCTCCAATATTTATTGTACAAATGAAATCGAATTTCAGAAAACTGTTTCGGAGTCCATTTTTCCTATGACACCCACTTCATATTATCAGTTAGTTTGCTGCTCCACAAACTGAACATAATCAAAACGCTTTTGTACACCTAGTGTTCAGGATGATCTGTAATACAGTGTCTTGGTTTTGTAGACGCAAAACTGATCGCCAATCTTCACTCCAGAGAATAGGTAGGAGTTTTCTACTTGGTTCAAATGATCAAGTTCTGCAATCCTTCCTTGACCATAGACGTCTTTTTGCAGAGTTAGTTTTTTAGCGGTGGAGCTGAGCGTTGTAAACAAATCACCACATCCGTGCATTTTGCTTGAGCGGTTGTCTGAAAAAACTCGGACCTTAGCAATGAGCTTATGAACCACGGTTGGACCGATCAGCTGCACTTTTCTTGTCTTGAGCATGTGCCTTCACCTCTTTCACACTGATGTTCATTACCTCTCGGATCTCTTTCGCCATGTGGTCGAGAACGTTTTTAGTGATCTTCTTCTTAAACTCTGTGTTCTTGTGCCATGCCACTCCTACAGACACTTTCACGGCGCTTCTCGGTGGATTTGTGGAAGTTGTTTCAATGTCTCGCTTCACTTGGACCTGCGTTGCATCAGGAACGAACGTGTTAGCACTGTCGTTGGAGATCAGCTGCCAGGCTCGCTTTCTAGGTCCCTGGACTTGAACCTGGACTAGGTCAAATCTAACACAAGCTCATCAGAACTTCCAAGAGTGTAAAAAGATGCAGCCTCAAGTACCTCAAAGTGGTCACCGAAAGGTACATCGTGAAGAGTGAGAACCTCGTCAATTACGAAAACCTTCGAGCTATCTGAACTAGTCTTCTGCTGAACGCAAGAAATTTTGCTTCCAAACTGACTAATCTGTCGGTTCAGTTGGTAGCTAATCTCCCGGCGTTGAACACCAGGCTGATTATCAACACGCTCCCAAGATGAGCTTTCATAATTTACATAGCCCATTCTCTCCGCAACAACCTCCTCCAATTTCCCTTTATCAAAGAGTATCATCACAGAATCCGTCTGCATGATCAAAACATAACATTGCATCAATTAAAAGATGAAAACAGAACCGACGGGAAGATTGGAGCGCCACCCTATGGTACCTCCACAGAATTGGATTTGGGAAAAGTAATACATACCGTTAGAGGAATATCAAAGGAACAAACATGATACAAGTGGGCCTCCTCCATCCCTGTAAAAGAATCTGTGTCGTCTCCCAGCCTCTCGATCTCAGGGTGCTTCCTTTGTACATTGGCAACAAGTTCCAGTTGCTGCTCTGGGCTCAGCTTCCTGTTCTTCCATAGAGCTGAGATTGTTCTGATCAAGACATAACAAATTTTGTTCAGGAACTCAAAAGGAGAGACCGCAAACAGGCTAACCATCAGCACGTTTGGAATGCCACTGATGCCCGATAGAACTTATGCTGGAACTTTGCAGAGAAGCTCCTAGAATTTAATTAAATGGTAAGCAAAGATCAATGATTTGTACCTGAAAGCTGTCACAGGCTTGACAAATGAACAAAAGTAAAACTTCGCACGGCCATTTGGACAGACACCTCTCATTCCATTGTGGGCATCAAGACCTCGGCCCTTACGCAAGTACATGACTATATAGGGATTCATAACTCCAGGCGTCTCTACAATCTCCTCAATGTCTTCCCATATGAACTGAAACTTGGTCTTAATACCAAAGAGATTCGAGTAAAAACCCAACATTCTGGGTGACAGAAACAGACGTCCCTGCAGCAATGCAATAAAACAACAATTGATGGCACGATACTGATTTAACCTTAACTTGAGTATAACGAAACTACTACTATATCCTTAATTTGAGTACCACGAAATGTTTATTGATAAGGCCTACCCTTGAGCATGAATTCTGAGATTTCAAGGCCACAGTTAGTTTTCAAATGAAAAAGGAAGTACCATCAGAAGTGTGCGACTATTCACAAGTAATTGCACACGTGAACATATTCGTAAAGACTGTTAGAAATTCCTAATCAAGTGGATACTGAAGAGCATATTCACAAACCTGTACAAGGAACTTTTTCTTGATGGCACACGCGAAGTCATTGATGAGAAACTCTTCAGCTGGAAGCGCAAACAGCTTCTGAAATGAGCCATTCTTCTGGGCAGAACGCACCACAACCTGCACACAATTACCGACTTAGAACTATGTTTCGTTCGACCTGGTTACTACAACGACAATTCATTTTTGGTGAGTGGAATTGCTACTCTATCGACTTCAAGTAGAGTTCATGCTGTCTTGCAAATGTACGAACATTAGTTGGGCCACATGGTAGCTTGAAAGACAATACAGATCAAACTACCTTGGTTCCAAGCTCCTTCTCAACCCGGTCAAGGTACTGAGGTAAAGCATCCGATTGTTTTGTGTTTGTCAGGAAAACTCGAAGATGCAACTTAGACCCATGCGTTCGAGCGTTTTTCCCGGATAACGGGAGCCAAAAATCGGCCAGCTCATCAGGACTCTGCTTCAAGAAATTGATCTCCGAATGACCAAGTGATTCAGCATCAGAGAAAGGCCCATCGTAGTCAAAGACTTCGACGTCCATAGTTGAAGGAGGATCCTCTGTGGCATCGAACTCAAAAATCTCTGAAATTGTTGCAAATGACATGATTAGTATCAAAATTCATCGTCCTATACCGATGAATGAATAAATGTCCTGCCCAAGTGCAAGAAAAACATTGAAAAGAGAAAAACGAGACAAGGAACGTACCACGCCAACGTGGCTTGAGAGTTCTCAGTTTCACAGAACTTGTGCGTCTCTTGCCACTGCAAGTGAAGACAACATACGGATTGGCTAACTTATTATCATTAGGACTCAGATCCACTCCTTCAATCAACGTCACAGTCATTAGCCACCCGTCACCCTGAGCCTTCACTCCATGATCTCCACCTGCAAACCAAGCCAAGAGAAAGCCAAGTTCAGAATGATAGAAACATTCCCTCGTTTGTCAAGAACAATACCCGCAGCTCATACTTGCCCCTTTCTCTGTGGCAGATTGTGCCCATGTCAGCAAAGTCAGTCGTAATCCATCTTCTGATTATTTTAAATGTTCACAACAGTTTGACTCAATGAAGGAAAGAAACTGTTTGACTGAAAAAACATCTAAACTTAATGATCAGATCAGTTCGTGTAAGAATGACTGTTAACTTACTTTGCCAAAATCGTGCTTGAACGAACTGTTGCGTCATTTTAACAACCCTCTCAACTTGCAAAACCACAATGGCTGTGAAGAGCAGCTCCGACATAGTATCGGGAAGGTCCAAGCCCCACCGTATAAGAGTAGCTCTTAAAGTAGGGGATGCAAAGCATATGTGCAAAAGCACAATGGTTAGGGACAACAAAGCCAGCAGGACATGTAATTTTCCGAAGTAGCCTCTTACTAACTCCCAATCACTCAGTGGTTTTTCTTCCTGCTTGGGGGCAGATAATAATTTTCCTTCTGAGGGTTCTTCAGAAACAGATTTCGCATGGTTAGCTAAGACCTGCAAAAAATAAATAAATAAATAAATACTACTTTTGGGTGCGGGGAGCAACTTCCAGTTGGAGGAGAATGTAGCATGAAAAATAATGTATAAAATAACAACACAAAGAAGAAAAGGTGTCAGATAGCTAATTCAGATTTTTAATGAATCAAATTTGATCAAATTAAAAGAAGGCAGTATGGCGCACCAGTCATTTTAAAAATTAAGTTGCAACTACGATGACATCTTAATCAATCTCAACTAACACTAATCAGTAGCACTCATGCAGACACGAACTTCACATACAAGTCAAGAGTTAAGTGGGTACGATCTAAAAAGATCAACAAAATTCCTTCGCAAGCTATACGAACTGGATACATGTTAGACACCAACCTGTCGGTATACTTCGTAAGTTTCCTTGATACCAGCACGAGCACCGTTCTCAATCATGCTTCTCATCATTGTGGATTGTAGAAAATTGAGTTTCCACGATATTTGCAATCTACAAGATTTCTCATTTGAGGGTTGATCTGGTCCCGCCAATATGCAAAACTGAAAGCAACATGCACAGACGTAGTCATTTCTCTGGGTCTAGTTAACGAGATATTCACATTTATACGCAAGGAAACTCTGCCTTCAGCTTGTTAGAAAAGGAGCCGGTATCCCTTAACATGGTTGAAAGGACAAACCTGAAGTTCAACCACAAAACAGCCACCATATGGTACATCCGGAGTGGCACAGGAGACGTCAACAACAAAACCCTTCTCATCTTGACGCCTGCATGTTTGTGTCTCAGTGGCTTTCACTGCTTTTATCATTTTCGTTGCAGCTTTCATATATGTAACAACTCGTTGAATTGCACCGCTTTGTTCACTCTTCCAAGGCCCCTCAATATACTCGGTTGTCTTTTGTACAGTTAAAAGCTCTTGAACAAATGGGGAACCAGCCTTGAGAATCAGCGCGCTCAGAAATTTAGAACTGACGGCATATCTTTGATCTAACACAACTCCACCGGCCAAAGGGGGAGGAAAGTCTTCGGGTGACGCCTCCACACTCTTGCCGTCGTCGTCAAAGTACGAAGTCACCAATGTATCAACATCACCGTCACTGCATTCATCTGGAAACCCATCCAAACCATCTACAGAACCTCTGCAAAATATACAAGAACCATACACCACTCATTGAGTCGGAAGATTATGGGACAAAACCTAATTTATGGAAAATCGATCAACTAAATAATAACAGGCTATAGCCTCTAAGAGTGACTTCATTTCTCTTACGATATACCAACAATTCATATTCTCGGAATCAAGAAATTGTACTCAAGCTATTGCCAATATACATAACGCAGGAACAATCTTGAATTTGATGCTCAGCTGTAAACTGATAACCACATAAACGCCAAGATATTAATCAAACAATTTCCAACCATGTAATCTTAGAAAACTTCATAACTTACTCGTCACTGTATTTTGGATGTGACGTCGTTGATCCTTCCCCACCATATTTAGAAGGCTCATCAACTCCTGGTTTCCCTTTCTTATTGAAAAGAACATTAAGTCTATCTGCAAAGGTCTTGGGAGCCTTATTTTGCTCTTTTGAAGGGTCTTCATCATAGTTTGAGCCAAAACCACTAGGCCAAGATCCCTGCGTTTATCCGAAGCTTTAGTTCGAAACACAAGCAAGATCTTCTAAGTCTTTCATCTATTGGCTAGCTACGCTTTCAGGATGAAACCCAAACCCTTCCAAATGCAACCTACTAATTAAGACTCACAATTACTTGATTCTCTTCACATTATTAAACCGGCACAAACAAGCAGCGTCTACATACTAATGCACCACCTAAACCCCTGCCTACAAGAGATGAACCTGTCTACTTGAATGTAATTGGAAGGGGGGGGGAAATAATAATAATAATAATAATAAAATACCCTTAAGCTTGGAGATCCCGGTAAATCCGGAAGGCTGGAAACTTCTGTCGAAAAGTCACTCAAATCCATGGAACTTGTGGGCGAGATCAAAGATGCGGAATCGTCATGACGAGGCGAACCAATAGGTAAATGTTTCTCTTCTGGAATCCATCTTTGAAGTCTTGGACCGGACGACACATCTTTCCCAAACAAAATGAGACTAAGCATTATCTCGCCTGTTTTGCAAGATGTAAATGTTAGTAAAGCCATTGTGTCTAACGTAATGTATCTTTGATATCAAAAATATACTTTGAATGGTATCGGCTGGATAGCATCACAATGAACCAATGCTCAACCACTGAGATAAGCTTTGACCGGAAATACAAATAAGCGAGAGCACCAGTGCATACCAGTGATTGGGAATTTGGATTTTTCGCTGCGTTTTTTAAGAGTATACCATTTTCTCGTGATAGTCATCTTCTCTGCAGCCATAATGTCGCTGATTGGGATTATTACCTGACCTAAGAAGTCATGAGTAATGAGATCTTCATCCCAAACCGTTAGCAGTAGCTCCTCATGAGTCTCGTCCACATTAAAGAAGAATTCTTCATGCCAAGCTGGATTCAGATTTTTCGGAATTACAGCCGTTTTCGTCTTTGTGGCGTCTAATTGCAAGCGTACGAAAGGGTCACTTAGACCATTTGGGTCTCGAGCTGCAAGGTCTCGAGCCTCCAGTACGTGCACATGCAACTTCATTTTGAAGAATTTCAAAAATTCACCCCCGTAGGACAAAACGAGCCTGCCAGAGCTTACAAAGTCTCTGTTTAGTCACCAGGTTACTCCCCGAATAAACTCTGATCCCCAGCCATCACCAGCTCAACAAACGAACTGCCTGAGCCCCCCTGTCCCCTTCTAAACACATTACTGTCCCATTGCAGCCCTTTCAGCTGGCTTCAAGATCCAATACGTCCAAACCAGTGCATCAATGAATCTAAGGTTAGCGCCGTGAAATCCTCCGAGTTTCCATCAACACATTCGAGGGCTAAATCTTGCCCACGACTAAAATAAACTGTGAAAGGATTTTTGAAGTAACTGCCAGTCCCTGCTAGATCAAAGAAACATGCGATCAATTGGAGCTTAACCAACGCTTATGAAAAGAAAAAAAATGCATAGGATCAAGAGGAAGGTCGGAAGGATTTCAAACCTGATAGTGGATAGAATGATGTAACAATAGAAATTGGGATAAAATGTACTGCCTTAACACTCGCAGCAAGTCCTCACAATTCCAACTGCTTTGACGTGATTAGAACCATGAAACCCGCAACACAGCTAAGTCCAAAGAGCTGAACGTTTAAGATGCGAGATATGTGCACGAGCATAAATGTCGGAGGAAGCAAATTTCCCGCACTCCTCTTACTCTCCTCTTTGACATCAGGCACTCTGTTGAAACAACCAGCGCAATCTTCAATAAAGCTTGTGAGGAGATCCAGTAAACACACACCAGATTCCCTCTCAGCATTAAGTCTCACTTTGAGTGCTAGTCCTAAACTCCGAAACCACAATGGGCCTTCACACTTTTTACCAACATTATGCCCAAAGTCGAAAGAGATACTATCCACACTTGATGCAAGCGTGAGTTGAACATGACAAGCAACGTTTCGAAACCAGTAAATAGGAATCAATACCGTCCAAACCAATCCAGGGATCATTAAACTCCAGCATCTCCCGTCCACAGCGCCATGACACCAACGCTTCGTTTCTACCCTTGCTCCACCACTAAAAGCTACGTTTGATGGAGCAAGAAGTTGGCATTTTACCAACGAAAGCGGGGCCTAGAAGCTGCGAATATACGACCCACTCATCAACATCTCGTCGAGCCAACGTCTTCCAAAGAAAGCTGGTGATTGAGCAAACCCACAGCACCGTTTGTTTTGGTACCCGCTGCGGAATGAACACTGGACGATATCGATGAATATGAAAACCAGGAAGACAATCACCCGAGTGTGCGAGGGTCGAAGTGCCTTTCTAAATATGCAGCCAGCAAGGACCAACAATCTACCGTCAACGCACGATGCCCGTGTTGATGCTACAGTTAAAGCCACTTTGCCATCTGGGCTTTAGAGATGCTAGATTTGGCTAGAATTCCCCTCCGATTTTTCCAAAACCAATCCTTTCAACGCTACAGTCAGGCTCCTAGACCCGAGGTAAAACTACCCCGTCACAAAAGGGGGGGGGGGGGGCAACTGACATTGACAGTGATCACATCGAAAATACCAAAATAAGCAATGATAAAACGACTCCTAATAAATTAATTCAAGAGCCATTCAGATCGCAACAACTCTTCGTCTTCTGTTACATCCAAGGAAAAATAAAAACGTGGGCCACGACATCTACCGCTCAACGAAGTTACTCGCCCTGTGAATCTGATTCCTATCACGAACTCCGGACCAGTTTCTGTCAACAGCAGGAAGTTTCGAATTCGACCATACAGGAATCAATGGCGTCGGTCTGACTCCCGAGTTTACTGAATACTAAGGATTCCTCGTTTGTGTGATAAGCCCAAAATAGCCACCGATTTCCCTAAAAAGTCAACTTGCAACGTGTCATAAAAATCGTAACGCGTAAGGCTAGGCCATTGAAACAGCGATAATAATGAGCGCCATGTGAGTCCAATTTCCGCTGTAGAGATGATACCCAGAAAGTTCATTGGAGCGAAACACTGACAAGATGCAACCAGTCTGCTTTCTGAAATTCAAATTTTATCAAAAAATTCTTCAGCACGGTCCATTCCACCCCAGCGCCACCGCTGGCTTAAATGCCACAGTGACAAATATCTGCATTCCGAGAACTGCACGGTCAAATCGAGTTCGACAAGTGTACTCGTCATCACACGACGAGTCCTCCCCCCATCGGAAGAAGCTCCCATGCCAAACAGCCCCACATGAGCTCATCTGTTGAGCTCAGATCCCCGATCAGACTCGTGTAAGTTCCTTGCCTTCCGGCGACGCTAAAATCGTATTCCATTGCCTCGCCGCAGAGGATCAAATCCACATCCCGGGAGTAGAAAGAATCCAAACACCTTCGGGAGACTCAGCAGCTCGTTTGACCCAGAATTTACTCCAGGTCTCAATGCGGACAAATGAGCTACTTTCCCCACCTCCAAACCCTCGAATCAAAACCCACAGCCCCAAATTTCTTTCACGTCGCTGAATGAGTTGATTTCTCCGACCGAATTTCGCCGCTAAATTAGGGCTCGATGACGAGCTGACCATCATTCAGTCAACGCCCCCTCACTGGTCAGTCAACGGACCCTGGGTCCACGCAAACAGCATTAACGAATGAATTCTTATTTTCATTCGTTTTCCCAATTTTAGTTCTTCGTATTTAAAATACATATCCAGGCAATTTCATTTATTACCATGTATTTGTAGATGAAATGAATATTGATACTCAAGGCCATGGATTATTCATTTTTACTTTTTTTGCAGTAAATCATTCCCTTAAGGCCCAAATACTGCTTCTCTTCATGAAAGTATGCTATTCAGAGAGATAGTAATATACATTTTTTAATTACAAATATACAAATTAAAACTTGCATATAAACTTTGGTTCCATTACTTTAGCTGCCATCACGCTCATACTAACTGTAATTCTTAATATATCATTCCCACTAAAGACCTAAAACATTTCTTGTAATTATACTCAGTAATCATTCTTAATAATGTTCACAAATCTCTGTTATATCAAGACATGATTTGTTCAATCTTGCAATACTTCAAATTATAGTTTAAAGCTTTATTTGTTTTTATTTTATTTTATTTTATTTTAAATACTAGTATAAAAATTACCTCGAAAGTATGATTCTTATCCATTTTTTATTTTGATATTTTATATATCCATACATATGGATAAGAATCATACTTTATCCATACATATTCACTCTCACAATATTAAAAAATCTACAAAGTGAATTCAAAACAGTGTTTTGAATACCAAGGCATATTCTTGATAGTTTCAAAAGAACAACTAAAAAGTTGTTAAATTTGAATTTTTAAAAATGATTTTGAAAAAATGTATACATAATGTAAATTTTCAGTTTAAATAAAGAATTTGATCTTACTTTTATAGTCATATTTATTAATATCACTGTCCAAAAAGTGAATGTTTTAGTTTTTCAATAAACTCAGATTTGAAAAAAATAACAGTAATAATAAAATAACATAAAACATACATACACACATAAAATGACAAACATGATATTTGATTTTGAATCAATACATTTTTGAGACTTTTAAATAACGTTATAAAACTTGTATGTTCATAAAGCTATTATATTAAAACATCATGCCTGTAAGGCTTAAAATTAATAATCAAGGTATACTAATGGATAAATTAACCATCCCATTCCTTTTTGTAATTTTTTCTTACGAAATCAAATGCATAAAAAGGATCATTGAGTAATGTTGCAAACTTACTATTTTCCTTGAAACTCTACTGTTTTACATACAAGAATTTGAAATAATATCTGTTACAGAGTTTTATAGTCTCAACAAGATGTCATATTCTTCAAATTCTAACATGAAATAACAACTGAATTACAATAATGCATTTTCTGGTTGGTGACATTCTTGGAACTTGCTTATGACCTGCTAATTACATAAAATGGTATTTGCAGCTTTGCATCATTAATCTGTGACCAATCAATGTTGTAACAATTTCTTTCACCTTTAGAAGTTTCTTTGAAGTTGTTAGTAATACACAATTATAATATTTAAAAACCATACTATTAAACCTTATCCCTACTATAATGTGCTTGCTGCTCCCATAAAACTAAAAACATTGCTTCGACAATCATATGCAAACTCAATTTGCTGACTCGATAGATTCACTTTGATAGGGTTGCAGGCAATCCAATATAGTACTTTAATACTACATGATGTGTTTTTTTTAATAGTGCGATGTGCACAAAGTTTTAAGAAAATTAAAAGATTCTATTGTTTCTATTTTTGATGCTTTAGAAAAGTGGAAGAGTGAAACTGCTCTCCGAGTATCAATTTTTAGTTTTTTTGGGTAATTTTTGCTAAAAGCTACTCTTTACTTCCACCTAAAATTGCTAATAGTATTATTTTTGCTAATCCACTTTGTTTTGTCTTGTTTGTAGCCCTGTAAAGGAATTAAAAACACTTTTTATTAATTTATTAATATCAACCAATATTTTTTTAATACTTTAGTAAATATAATATTCTTATAAAAATTGATAAATTAAATATAACCATACAAATTTTATATAAAACTTAAAATGAACATTTTAAAATATAGCAAATAATTATTGAGTCATTATCTATCAAAATTAGAGTGCTATAATTTTTTAATGATTAGGTAAAAAAATATTATAATTATTTTTATCAAAAATAGAAATTTTAAGTATAAAAAATATACCAAATATTTATACTTTAGATATATTTATCAAAATTATTACATTCCAAGTAAAAATTAATTTTTATTATTAGAATAATAATACAAAAATAATAAAAAAAATATTATTTAACATTGATTGGAGTTTTTATTAATATTTTCTTACAATTTATCTATCTATTAATATAATAAAAAAAAATTATTTATACAAATGCATAATAATTAAGACCATTATATCTTAAGAAAACCTAAAGTAATAAAGTTTTAAAAAAAGAAATAATACTTGTTATTTCAAAATGATTATCATTTAGTACACATTCAAATTAATTCAAATATTTCTCTTATTTTATAATTTAACATAATAATTAAGGACCAAAAAACTCAACATAATAATCACATTAAAAAGATGAAGTAATCACTTGATGCCATGAAAATTATCAACCGCTAATCTTATTTCTAAAACTTATCTTTGCATTGTCCAAAGAATTTGATTAGTATTAAGAAGATAATAACACAAAGGTTTTTTTATATTTAAAGATACTAAAATAAATTTATATACTTATAAAAATTATAATATTATCAATTTTCATAAATGAGTTTTTGCATCATAAACATTTTACAATAAATTTTTTTATAAGCCAATTATATTATAAATTAATATATCATAATATAATAATATATATTTCTATATTAAACAAAATAATTTGTTTACAAACCTATACCACAAGATATAAAATATATCAATAATTATATTTTGAATAGTCTTTAAGATTTAAATTCCTTATATTTTATTGAAATAATTATTAAATTTAGATTAAACTTAATAAGGCCCTCATACATAAATCAATGGCAATTATATATAAAATAATTTGCATTTGCAATACAACAACAATCCTTATATATAAATTGATCACACTAAAAATGATTATTTTTGTAATGCAACAACAACCCTTAATACATTGATTATACATAAAGCGCTTATTTTTTGCAATACAACAAAAAACTTTTACATATAATTGATCATGGCATCATTTATACAAGAATCAATCCCCAATGAAGTAATTTTTATTAGCAATGCAGTAACAACCCTTTCACATGCATTGATTACACATAAAGTGATCACTATTTGTAATACAATGAAAACTGTCATATATAAATAGATCATAATAGATACATACAAGAGTTGATTATACACAAAGTAGTTTGTATTTGGAATGCAACAATTGCTCTTACACATAAATCAATCATAAGAGCAATCATATAAAAATAATTATAAAATTGAGAATCTTTATTTTAAATGCAATAACAATCTTTTTTATTATACAAATTAAGTCAATAAAACTTATGAGTTTTGCCAATAGATTTAATTTAGAAGCACTATTAAAAACACAATTTTAAGTTATTTTGATACAAAATATTATGATTAAATATTCTTTTTGATTATTTAAGTGTTTATTATAATTTAGAAGGATTTATAAGTTATACAAATCTTATTATAGGAAAAATTACAAAAATGGAATTTTAATAAGTATTGGAAGCAATTATATTAGTTGGTCTAGTATTTTTTTCTTAATTGTAAGAAATAGTCTTTAGTTATTTAGACCAATATCTACATTGGCCTTCTATTCATATGTATTACTTATAAATAAATAAATAAAACTTAAAAATTTTATTTAATATATAGAAGAAGCATGAGAAAGAACCTCATATCTTTTTATTTATTTATGTAAAATATTTGATTTTTAGTTGATTTAAATTGACTCTATTATTACAAAAAAATTAAAAGATAAAAAAGTAGTCTTAAATTGATGATAGAATCATAAAATTATTATAAAAAAAATTATAATTTATTTAGAATTTTATAAGAAGTTTAAGAGAAATTTTCAAGAATTTGGTAAAAATAACTTTTAAAACTTTGGGAGGCTATTGTAAAGAATTGAAGCAATATTTGAACGACTTGTATAGTTCTCAAGCTAATTGGATGATTTTAAATACCATATTGATGTCAAAGTTGAAATTAAAGTAGTTTTATTAGTGGAAAATAGAAAGACTAATAATTACTATAGTACTTGGAAGAGAGGTGCATAAATCTCATATAGATTGTAACACATTGGATATAGATAGGAGGATAAGACTAAGGCCTTGTGGCCTCTCTAAGATACCTAAATACACTACTTATGAACCTTGGTGAGGCTCAACTTCTTAATCTTTTAATAAAATTACCCTTAAGATAAAGTTTAGCCACTTAATTTTTTTATTATTTACTTTCTATCTTTAAACCTTTATAATTTACTCATAGCAACATAGATTTATATGTTTTTTATGCCATTTGAAAGATAATTAAATTATTTATTTAAAATATACTTTTTAACCTTTTATTTTTACTTTTTATTGATTAAAATTTTAGTGATTAAACTGTAACTAGTTTTGTAATGTGCAATTGCTTGATTGCAATTCTTTCACTTGTTTTGTGTTATTTGTCTTTGTTTTTTGTTATTTTCTTCTCCTAATTCATACCACCAATTACAAAAAAATCTTAATTAAAGCCAACTTGTAATTTAGATTGAAAGATAAATTTTATCATAGATGAAGTGATCTTTATTTATAATGTAGCCATAGTCATGATATATGAATTGATTACACTTAAAATAATTTTTGTTTGCAATGCAACAACAATTTTTACACATAAATTAGTCATAATAGAACTCAAATAGGAATTGATTATTTATAAAGTAATTTATGTTTAAAATATAATAAAGATTCTTCAAACATGAAGAGATTTATATTTACAATACAACAACAACCATCATACACAAATTGATCACAATGCAAGTTACATAAGAATTGATTTATGTTTGCAATACAATAACAATCATTTAAACATAAAAGCAATATATGTTTGTAATGCAACTATGATCCTTCAGAAGTGAATCAAGCACAAATAAAATGGTTTTCTGTTTATAATACAATGATGGTCCTTTACATATGAATTAACTAGGATAGTGCTTACTCAAGAATTAATCATATGTAAAGTAATCATTGTTTGCAACACAATGATAGTCCTTACATATGAATTAATTATATATGAAGTAATTATTTGTTACAATGCAACAACATCTATTGCACATAAATAGATCAAGACAAAATTTATACAGAAATCAATCACATATGAAGTGACTTTTATTTACAATGGAACAACAATCCTTGAATTGGTCACATTAGAATTCTAAAATAAATTATACATAAAGTAATATTTGTTTGTAATGTAATGATGACCTTTATATATAAATCAATCACACATAAAGTGATTGTTATTTATAATACAACAAAAATTGTCATACATAAATGAATCACAATAAAAGTCAACCATTACTTGATTATATATGAAGTGATATATGTTTGCAATACAATTGTAATCCCAAATACATGAATGATCTTTATTGCATAAGAATGAATGACATATAATAATTATGAATTACATAAGAAAATGATACATAAAGTGATTTGTATTTGCAATGCAATGAAATCTTCTATACATAAACAAAGGAGAATATCAAATCAATCCATTTAAACCTTAATTCAATATACCACATAACTTTGTGGTTTAAAACTGTCCAACATTCTTCAAGGTTGGCCTTAGATCTTGTGCAATGGAAGGTTTTATAGCCTAAAAGATCTATATATTAATTCAAACAAACAACCTCAAACATAAATCTGTTAATAGAATACCAATCAAGAAGATCCTAGGGTATTCTTTGGATATTTGAACCTTCAAGTGTTTGTGATACCATTATGATGAATCAATTTTAAGATTTAGGTGGATTAATTTAATATTCTCCTAAATCAATTACAAATAGAACAAGTATTGTTTACAATGCAACAAAACTATCACAATAATTGATTATTAAAATCTAAAGTGGATCTTAGTGATAAGATAATACATAAACATATCAAACACAATACTTAACAATAGAAATATAAAAAGCAAATTCTTTTAAATAAAATATAACCAACAACCAACAACATTAATGATTAAACAACAAGATATGAAAAGATGTGATTGTTTTATGTAGAATATAATTTTTTAATAGCACATGTCTTTTAACAACCAAAGACTATTGCATAGCTGTATTAATGCACAACAGAGCTATCAATATTCACAACTTTAACACCCACAGTTGCAGCTTTGGCACATGCTAATCAAAGATAATCCCTTTAATACAAGATAATATAACTGATAATTTCACAAAAGCTTAGCTAAGTGACCAACCCTAAAACAAGAGCAAGATGAGAACCTGATTGCATGCAAAAACGTATTCAATAACAACAATATTGACAAAACCTATTGATTGCAAACACCTCTTATTGTTTGCACCAAGAATTTGCAACCTTAGCAAAAATCAATCATTCCAATTGGAATAGACAAATTTTCACAATACAGAACCACCTAATAACATAGCCACTACACTAAGTCACACCAAGAACAAACAAACTCCAATACACTGAGTCATACATAGACTTGCCCTTCAGAGCAAAATAGCTTCACATCTAACTATCACAGCAATCACCACTTGCTATATCTCATCTAATTATTATTTAGCTTGAAGAAATAAATTTAAAGCAGAAGAATTTTGAACCTTCTTCTACAAATCTTTAACAAATGTCATCCTAAAATTACGGACCATCTTCTACCTTTCCCACTGTTTACTTTCTCTAGTGATTGATGTATTGACTTCTCAATTCTCTCAAACAATTTCTCCAATACAACCTCTTCTTTTGACTTTCTCATTTCCCCTATTCATTCGATAGGCCTTCACCTCGCTGTTCAAAATTACGTTTTGTATTGGAAAAAATCATGAATTTAAATTTCATTTCCTTGAGCTTGTTTGGAAGCTATTCATAAACGAACGCAAGTGAACGAAACAGTAAGATACATTTCCGCACACATCACCATTCACAGGTAGGTCTCTGAAACTAGATTTCTATAATCTAAAACTTCACATCCTTAATTGCAGCGCAAATTCATCGAATAGAACCAAATTCACACACATTCACAGACAATGAAGCCACAGGGAAATTAATTCGTTATGTTTGTATCCTCGACCAAAACTGTAAAGAAGAGGTGGGAAGAACCTAAGTCAAGACAATCAATGAGAATCTGTCGGAGAATACGTCGCTAGTATATCTCATTCAACAGATAACCGTTTGAAAGGTCAAGTGATTTCTAAAGCTCGTCATTCTTGGTCTCATCGTCACCCATGAGCTCATCCAGTGAAAATTCATCCTCTTCAATGAGGTGTCCATCCTTCCCGTCCCATGGTTCAGTAGTCAGAACTGGCGGTACTGATTGCAAAGGTACGATGCCCCTGCCTCCTTTCCCTGCCTCAGCCACAAATTTCCTGTATCCGACATAATCGTAGAGCTTTAATACGAATTTCGAAAAAATGATGAGTAAAACGAGTTTTGAAAGCACACAATAGACATTAATGGGATTCAAGATATATATCAAGAGAGCAATACAAGCTTCAGCGTATCCTCTTACATGACAGGTTCTTGCTCAAAAGCGCCACGAAGAGGAGCATAGACGGCTTTCTTCACATTTAGTGCAACCATAGCTGGATACCCAAACCCACCAACACCCACTGCTTTCTCAAGATCTGGCTGCTTGCCTGCTGCAGTCCACACATACCTGCAAAACAGTTTACACAGTACGAGTCAGGTAATAGATACCAAATAAATAAATAAATAATGAGTTGTCCCATGCATCTGAAATGGCCCAGCACGTGACTAGTAAGTAATGCCTGGAACTTGCCTGTAAGCATTTCTTTTATATTTCTCCGCAACGTTCCGCAAAGTTGCTAGGTATTTGTTGCGACCCTCAGCTTTGGAGTCCAGAATGTCAGGTAAAAATGACACAAAACAGATAGCAGCAGAGCCACATTCTTTGTCCAGCACATCCTGGGATCAGAAGATGCATCATTCACGTTGAACAACGGCTGAAGTATTAAGCAAAAAAAGTAACTTATCAAATTATAATCGACTTGTGTGGAGGCAAGTGAACGCTCTGCCACGAAATACAGACCATCGAATGTAGTTCCGGCAAAATACCTGCCCCACCAGCTCCACAACCTCTGGAGCTGCCACATTGAGTTCCAGTTGAGAGATTGCATAGGATTCAATAGCACCAGCCGTTCTTGCACCTTCGTAAAGCGTTGGGTTTTCTTTATCAACTCCAAAAAGCATTATGGTAGGGAAACCTTGAATTCCATACTTTTGAGCCAAATCCTGCCATCGCCTCCCGAGTGCATTCGTGTTAGATAAATGAAAGAATCCGGTTACTACAAAATATCAATTCACAACAGCTCGAAGTCTACAAAAACTAGACCATGCATGGAAGTGCGGATGCACTGATGTAAAAAAGAAACTAGATCAATGGTAGACAAGCCAAGGAAAGATCAGTGTTTACCTTGTTTGTTTCGCAATCCACTTGACCTAATTTCATCTTGCCCTTCAAGTTCTTCGCTGCAGTCTTCCACTCTGGAGCCAGCTTCTTGCAATGACCACACCTGTCCAAAACAGACGAAATGAATTATATAATACAGTATGATAACAAATAGCTTATGAGAAAGAAACATAAATTGAGAAATGTCAATGTAATATGGTTTGTGATCATCGGGCGTGTTAGAGGATTACCAAGGTGCATAAAACTCAATGAGCCATGTGTCGTCACTTTGAACAACCAGTTTATCAAAGTTGGAGGATGAGAGCTCCGTTGAGGCGCTGGGTCCGTTTGAGTCTTTATCCTTCTTTGAGCTTGACTTCTTTGACCCAGACTTGCCATTCAACCGGTCCAGAGCCAGTGTTTTGACCTGTTCTTCGTCCCCAAACATCAGTGTTTTTCAATACAGTTGTCACAAACTCATTCTGCATTTACCAAAAGATCATGCTCTAGGAGCATTTCAGACATGACTTTCAGGCTGGAAACAATGCAAACCATGATGAAAAATACCTGCTGGAGAGCATAATCCACGATAGCTTTAGCCTCTCGTGCACCCTGATAGTCTATTGGTGATTTTCCCAACCCAAAGACCTTAATAGTTGGAAACCCTTGAATTCCATATTGCTGTACAAACCAAAGAACGAGACCGTGTTAAATCCGAACCAGTATACCTCATCCTACTTCTAAAACCAAACCAAACATCGTTCACTTTAGTGATCAGCCAAGTTCCATTACGAGGCTTAAGAGTGAGAGAAGGTCAATGCAAGCAAAATTAGCCACTTACACCACCCCCATTACAATAAACTGTGAAACGCATTACGTACACAAACATTGATTACACAGTATACCTATACAAGCAGACGCCCGTGGTCTAGATATAGGTTTGAATGTAAGGCACACACGTTAAACCTAGATATTGCAGACCAATATGTAACTGATTATCTGTCTATTCAATCATTACTAAAAGAAAGGATTTTACACAGCAATCCAACATTAAACAAGTACAGACCGTGAGCTAGTGGACCCAATTAAGATATTGTCAACGCTGATTACCTGTGCCAAATCCTTGTGTGTATCCGCGTCTACTGCTGCCACTGTGACAATGCCTTTCAAAGAGGTTGCTGCTTTTTCCCATGCTGGTGCCAAATTCTTACAATGCCCACACCAGTTGGCATAGAACTCCACCAAGACTATCCCCTCTGCTCCAAGAACCTGACCATACCAAATTGAAGTCCCCAGTAAAAATGAGTCAGGTTCACAGAAATCCAATTCGCATACGTTGATGATGGATAACAGAATATATAACAGGTTCCTCCTGCACCAATAGAGCTATCTTATTTTCGAAAATACGTGTGATAAACTTCTCAGAATCGTGACAATCAATTCGAAAAGGATGCTACCACCTACAGAGACTCGTGCACCCCATGTGACGAATAGCTTAACTTCAATGATGGACAATGCGAATACAAGAACTGAAACGCATCAAAAAAAAAAAAAAAAAAAAAAAAAAAACCCTACACACCTTGTTCTTAAAATTCGACGAAGTTAACTGCACCACGTCGGAAGACGGCCCATACAATGCAGACGCAGATCCAGCTCCGCACAGCACCACCACGAGCAACGCCGCGATCACCATGGCCAAAGTTGACACTAGCTTCCCCATCGAAACACTACAATCCGCTATACAACCTACGATCACAGACTACTATTGATCCCACAAGCTACCTCCTCCGTCGAAAAGCAACAACAACAATGGTTCAGTCGTCAATCTGGCGATCCACTAACGCATCCAGCAGCCACTGCTTCCCTGATCCGATGCTCTTCTTCTTCCTCCTCCCCCTCCTCGGTCCCTCTTCGCTCAACCTCTCCCGCCGCAGCAGCAGCTTCAAGACTCCCACAGCAACTCTCCCACTCACCTCATTGAATTGCCTCCGAGTAGATTTTACGTGCGTGTGGTACTGCAATAGAATGATCTAGAATCTAACCTTCGGTGTGAGTATGGGTACGCGAAATGTTCTCCTTGGCCTGATTTCTGGAATCTATGATTTCAATGGGAAACAGTAGTGTATCAACCATTTGGCTGCTATTGGCTGAGACGGGGCGTTCGACATGGTCTGTCCAATCCTGAAAATTGGGTGACGTGGAATCAACGGGTTTCGTCGCTGGATGTGAGGCAATCTTTCACAGAATTTTCATCCATTTCCCTTCCTTTGTGGATGAAATGTGCTAAAATTCAAGGCATGGATTATTCACATTTTTATTTTTTAGTTTTTTTGGTGTAAATTGTTCTCCTGAAGCCCAAATACTGCTTAACTCCGTAAGAATATGATTCATAGAGATATATAAATAAAATAAATTCAAAGAATATAAAAAACACACACACACGAATAAAACTTGGAAATTAACTTTGCTTTCATTAAGTTTGCAATCATTAGCCTCACAATAACTGTCATTCTTAATATTTCATCCCTACGGAAGACTCAAAAAAATATTTGTGATTTTTTTCTATAATATTCTAAATAATTTTCACAAATGTGTGTTAAATCAAGACATGGGCTATTTCATCTTCTGATATTTCAAATCATAGTTCAAAAGCATTAGTTGTTCTGTTCTTCATTTCATATATATTTTTTAATACCTGCATATTTATTACTTTTGAAGTTAGTATGTTTTTTTAAATTAAGTATTATATTATTATATATTCAAGCATATTCGCACACATGCTATTACAAATTTCACAAATGAATAACAAATAGTGTTTTTAATATCAAAGTATATGCTTGATAGTTTCACGAGACCAACTAAAACAGTGTTGAAGTTTTATTTTATTTTTAACAAAAATAAAAATAAAAACGTTTATTTATATGTTCAAATAAAGAATGATTTAATATTTTCACAGTCATATTTCTAAATAACTCTATCACAAGAAGTGAGCGTTTTAGTTTTTTAAAATCAATTCCGGTTTGAAAACATAAGAAAAACAATTACAATAATAACAAAAACACATGCACAAAATGATAAATACAATATTTGAATATGAACCAATATAGATACCAAATTTATAAAACTCCCATGTTCACAAAACTATCATTTTGAAATATTAAGTCTGTGCGGCTTCAATTAGTAATTAAGGTAGAAGAATGGATAAAAAAATAACCATCCGATTCCTTCTTATAAATGTTGCTTACCATATTATATGCATAAAAAGACCAGTGAGTGACATTGTAAACTCACTATTCACTTGATAATAAAAACCAAGTGACTCTTATGTTTTATGTACAAGAATTTGAAATCATGTGTGTTTCGGGGTTGTGTAGTCTCAACATAATTTCATGTTTTCTCAGTTCCAACATGAAAATAATTACTGTATTACTATAGCACATTTACTATTTGTTGACATTTGATTTTCAAAATACTACATTTATATACGAATAAATACACACAAAGATATCACATGATATATGCGTTCTGAACTTATATGCATTAATAATAATCAAACAGCTGTAGGATGATATTATTTTTGAATCTGATAATTTATTGCTCTCATTGGGTTCCACATATAGTGAATATAGTCAAGTTTTCCGTAGTTATTTTTTTGGTATTGACAGTGTTACAATGTAACCAATATACTTGATGGAATGTTGTTTGTAGAATTGGGTATTAACTTGTGTACATTTGCTCTTGATGTATAAGATTTTATAGTGTGCTCTTTTAAATTACTATGGTGTAATATAGATAACTTCAAGGTAAAAGAAACAATACCAGAACATTGGTCGGTTACATACTAATGGTGCAGAGCTACACATGTCATTTTGCTTTCAGTAACTTGCATTATTTAAATATGTTATGTTTCATCAATTCATTGCCTTTTTTTCTTCTTTTTTTTTTTTTTTTTTTTTTTTTTTGGATTAGTTTAGACGAAAAACGATTTGACTATGGAAATTAAATGAAACAGTATTCACTGTAAAGAACATTATTAAATCACAGTGACTGTGAATGGACACATCAGGTTTTATCTTTTACTTGTTGAGATCATTGAAGATTATAGGAAATTCTTACAAATTATTCAAAACCAAGTTGATTTTATTTTTTAAAGAATTTGATGTATTAGAGGTTGCTAAAAACGACTATAATTACTTTAAAGTAACAATGATAAAATGAATTAATGTGGAACAGAAAAAGTTACTCAAAATATTGCAAAGTGATCAATACATATCACAACAACCCTAACACATGAATATATACATCTAAATATAGCTATATTATTCGTTACAAACGACATCAATCTTTCACAAATTATACGCAAAAAACTTTTTAGTGTAAACGTTGGAGCATGGACTTTTTCTAAATTAAATATATGTACATCAATCATGTACAACATACAAAAATACCTAATTTATACAATCGATTAGTTTATTTGTGAATAAATGTACAAAATGGAAAACTTGTTATCAATGATTAATATTCAGTCTACGTTACATGTTGTCTATTTCAAAAAAATTGGAATAGTAATAGGACCCTCTACATTGTTTTGAAACAAAAATAGAAATTATTACAGTTGGTATACAGTGAAAAGAGCTCCGATTAAAAGTTACCCTTGAAAAGGAAAATCACAAGTATCACGCTGATCTTGTTGAAGGAAGAGTACTATTTCGAGTGTGCACCGTAGCAGATTTGTTATTATTATTATTATTATTACCATTTTGTTTACACCTTTTTTATAGTTTCTTTATTCGGCATTTTTTTTTGACTGTGCAGTCATCAACAGAAAAGTTACATCTAATAGAAATGTAAAGTTAGAATTTGCTCTGTGCACAAGATAAAGTAAAAAAAAAGCTAAAGGGTGGCAATATAAAGAAAACCCAAAAGTTAAATAAGAATGCTTCACAAGGGGGGCGAAGAAACAAACTCTTCCCCCTCATGAAAATAAGCGATAGGGTGTTCCCCGTGTTGGGAACAAACAGAGAACAACGCTTTGGGGACGTTTAGACTCAGGCTATCACAGAAACGACTGAACAATGATAAAACGGGATGTTTCATCTAAATGGACGACATTCGTTTACGATTATCGTGTTTCTCGGAAAAGGTCATAAGCAAGTCCCGGGAATAGGAGGCTGTTCTAAAGTCAACCTATCCCCGCTGTAATGGAACCAGAAACGCTGCTCGGACAATCATTTGCAAACCCGCTTCTCGTCTCTGTTTATCAAACTTCCCGCGCCTGATTTCTCTCTCTCGCAGGCAGGCAGGCAGGCAGCCAACAATTGCCTTTCTTCGCCGAGGGTCGCTGGAACCGACCTAAGGAATAAGGCAAGGCCGGAGGTGCTGGCATTTCGACCCTCGGCAACGACTCCACCGTGACGTCTTCAGCTGGTGGTGGTCGTGGTGGTGATGGTTTCAGAGGTGGAAAATTGGAATTCGATGAGCGGCAGCGGCTCTGGTAGGGTTTTGGGAATGCGTGGCATGGTTGCAATTTTGTGGTGTATTAGGGTTGCCAAGTCGGGAGGTAGAGCTGGCGCCTTGTATTAGGAGGGTTGTGAAGGTCGTCGACATCGCGGTGGAGGATTGGGGATTGAGGATTGGAACGGGTGATCTGAATTTGGTGGCTCGGTCGATGAACTTAGATAGAGTTGCAGGCGATCCAATGTAGTACTCTGATGCTGCGTGATTCGGTTTTTTTAGTGTTGGGTGTAGGGGAGTTTCGAGGAGTTTGGGAGATGCTAGGACGGGGGAATCCTTGGCGGTTTGGAGATTGGTTGTAGATCTTCAGCTTGTGAAGTTTTTCAGGAGTTTGATCTGTGTTGGTAGAGAATGATTTTTCCGGACGAACTTGGTTGGAGGTATATGTATTCTCTTGGTGCATGAATATGGATGTTCATACATTCTTATAGAGCCAGCCTCGCTTATAAGCAGAATTTTTTGAGAAGAAATTTGAGCTGCTTGCACTGTTGGCGGGTCTCATTGCAGTATGCATCTTTAGCTAGCTGTAGATCCTGGTCGAAAGTCGTTAACTTTTCTCCGTTTTCACATTCAAATCACGGGTTGATGTCAATAATTGGAGCGTTTTCGGGTGTGAGTTTCTTTCGTGGATACCTTCCAGGAGGAGCTCACGAGCTATACAATTCGTAAACCTCACTCTTGTCTTAGTTCTTCTAGGATTTCTAAACAATAACATAATAATATCAACATTAATAACAGTACTAAGTAAACTGGGGTAAGTTAAGATGTAAGCAATTGCTGCGACGACTCTCTCATGCTCTGTATCGATCAGTAGTTCGCACATTTGGGACTATTAGTTGGAAGCATCGATTGTGATTAATAATCATTACTTTGTGTGTTAGATATTGAGATGCTTTGTCACATGAAATTGGTTTAACCTAGTAAGGGAAGTAATCTTTTGATAATTCTTTTCACTTTCCAAATACTGTCTTTCGAAATGTTTTTTTTTTTTTTTTTTTTTTTTTTCTTTTTCAGAAACGCACTCTCGCTTTAGTACCTACATTCACTATTCTTTCATTTGAATTGCTGTTTTGTAGATTAAGACGACTTGCAAAGGTCACTAGCTTTGGTACTTGAGGTAGTTTGAACAGGATGCCTGATTGATGGTGGCCATATGCCAATGCAATGGACAAGGGGAAGAGTAAAACTGATCTTCGAGCTGCTGGCAAAAAGCGGGTACACGCTCTACCTTAACACTTGAGGTTCATCGATGCGAATGATGAGAGACGCTCACAGGGCTGTCTGGAACGGGCTGCTTTCCTCAGCCTAGTTGCAGTATCAGTATCTTTACCTGCCCTGCAATCCGCGTTCAGCTTCTAACTCAATCTCGATCTCATATTTTCACATCATGGTGTGCGAGTTTTCTTTGCGTGAAACATTCTTGGTTTGACCACTGACGGAATGGTTATGCATGGATCTATGCGCATTTATATTCTTGAATAAAACACAGCTGGAGGAATTTCGTCAGAAGCGGCAGCAGAAGGGGAGCTCGATCAAAACCAGCACGTCTACTGCTTTAAAAGCCCTGAGTGAAAGCGAGCAGAATCCCGGAGAGAAAGTGGGTGAGGAAATTCTCAGAGGTGACTCTATTTCAAACGAGGAGCCACAAAGGACCACTTCTGGAAAAGATAGAAAAGCTGAGCTGGTTTCAGATCACGCAGGCCAGGATGGTAATGTTCACGAAGAACAACGTGCGTCCACTGTGGTGGATCCGCCTCCTGAATCTTTCGGTGCATCATCTATTCAGAGGCTGAAATTGGGTGGTCATCTTGTTCCAGAGACATCAGAACAAAGTGTGGATTCTCCATGTGACCCAGGAAGTAGTAGCGGTAATTTGGATGACAAAGACAGGGAAGCTGTATACACAATCTTGTGGGAAAATCATGGAATAGATCATCATCAGCGCAACGAAGAGTGGCAAGAGAGTTCATTTGATGTTAGGGCTGACCTTGCTGAAAGGGCGCTTGATCAGGGAAATTACTCCACTTTTCGGGTTGATGACGAGCATTACGGGACTGAAACGAAAGAAACTCCACGTTCTCAAAGGAGACTGAGCGGAACTTTCGTTGATGCCATCGACAGGTTTCAGTCATCTGAGGTGAGTCGCGATCCACGTCCACATTCCAGTTAGCGGCACAGAGTATGAATGAATGGTTTACTTAGAGGGTGGAATCTACGCATCAGTAGGCAGATAAATAAACTATGTACAGTTCGGTGCTCTTGCGGAGCAAATAGTTATCTCAACACTTATTACGGGGGAACATTCACACCAACAGCCACGGCAAGATAATGTGGTTAGAGTGTAGAGTGTTATACCTCCCAACATTGTGGGTTGCGATTCCGCAAGTTCCATTCGTCCGTGTTCTTGTTCCCCCCTAATAATAAAACACTGTGTGCAGGGAATAAATGTGTGGGATGAGCATTCTCTCAGTCTAGCGCCTAATCAACAAAGGGCTGTGCAGGATGAAGCAGCTGAGGATGATAAGAGAGACAGTTTGTCCGTGGATCAATCTCATAAAGCTCACTCCTCATTCACGAAAGATGAATCCACGGAGGAGAGGACGCCACCAGAGTGGGATGAAAACTTGGAAAAGGAAAAAGTCAGAATGGCTGCTGAAGTAGCATTGATGCACCAAAAGCTCGAGAAGGTCATGGAGGATACTAGAAGGGAGAGGGAATTGCAAGACAATGAGATTGGTTTATGGAAGAGCCAAGTTAGAGAAAAAGAGGAGGCTGTATGCGCAAGGGACGTCCAGCTGCAAGAGTTGGAGGCTGACAAGCATCAGTCTGAACAGAACTTGCGGACTGCACTCGACAGAATTGAGAAAGAGAAGGAGCAGTCAAATCTGGATTTGATGGAAGTCAAGTCTGAAGTTGAGAGACTGAATGAGGAAAGGGGCGGATTTCTGAGCAGAATAGAAGTTTATGAAAAGGAACTTGAAGCGTTGAGGAAAGAAAAGGAGCAGTCTAATCTGGATTTGATGAAAGTTAAATCTGAAGTTGAAAGACTGAATGAGGAAAGGGGCGGATTTCTGAGCAGAATAGAAGTTTATGAGAAGGAGCTTGAAGCGTTGAGAAGAGAATCTGCTGAATTGGTGGTTCAGGTGGGTTTCACATAGGACGAATCCGCAAGGGTTGTAGAATCTGTGCTTTTGTGAACCAACCATATATGCTCACTGGGGTTATGTTTTGTATGGGTAGACATGAACATGGATTTACTTCTAGAGAGTAAACTAAAGTATAGTGTATTTTTACTGTGCTTTGTGGCGTTCTTCTACATGCTAATCTGAATTTTTTTTCTTGTCCAACTATTCAAATTGAAGAGGTTTGTATCGTGTTTTTTATTGTGCACGAAACAGATGAACTACGTGTCAGAAGAGAAGAATCTATTGGCTGCAAACCTGAGTGCTGCAAACGAACAAGCAGCAGAATCGCTTAAGCATCAAGAACAGCTGCTTTCCAGCTTGAAGGAATTAGAACATGAAAGGGAAACTGAAACAACTCGATATCGAGAGCTAGGATTGCACCTTGAAGGTGTCATAACAGAGAAGGTGCAATTAGAAGTGAGGCTTAGTGAATCTGCAAACGCCTTGGAAGAGTTAAGAGTAAATAATATACAGCTATCTAATGATTTAGCAATATCAGAAGGACAGAGGCTTGCACTGACAGAAGAAAATAAGAGTAAGAGTGATCGCATTGGGATTATGGAGGATGAGCGACTGAGGTACCATGAGCTTATTGAAAATATAAAACAACGCCTGAGTATGCATGAGGAGAAAGAAAAAGTCACTGCGGCCCTAGATGTACAGGTGAAGAATTTTGAAGCAGAATGTAAACGTTTGCAGTTTTTAGTGGAGACTCTAAGGACTAGTCTTCAGTCTTTGGAAGACGAGAAAGCTGAATTAGCTTGCAAATTTAGTGACCTGCAAGCGGAAAAGGAAGAATTGATCGCGCAGGTTGAGATTGCAAAGAATGAGCTGATTGTAGAACAAAGTCAGCTGGAAAGCTCAAGAACACAGCAGGCAGAGATCGTGAAAGAGCTTGAAAATACGAAGCTTGAGGTTATCAAAGTTCTGGCGGACAAGAATAAAGTGCAGTTGGATTTAGAGGAGTGTAAACAGAAACTGGAACATCTCATGGACCAGTTTGGCAAACTTATAGTTGAACGAACCCAGATGGAAGAATTTCTGGGGCAGAAGCTGCAAACTTTGGAGGACAACATTGAGGTTTTGAGTGAAGAAAAGCTTAAACTTGAGGAGCAGCTTGCAGGAGCAAAGCATGAGCTGGAACAACTCAACGGGCAATTAAGAAAAGCCGATGTTGAGAGAGTCGAAATGAGAGAGACTGCAGCTCTTGGAATCAAAACACTTGAACAGCAGCTATGGGGTCTAGAAAATGAGCGCACGAAATTGGAAGAGTTGTTTCGAACTGTAAGTACAGAGCTTCAGCTTTCAAATGACAAAATAAATAAACTTACCGTGGAAAAGGTCGGAAACGATGAGCTTCTCGGGCAGAAGCTGCAAAATTTAGAGAATAATGTGAGAATTTTGAGTGAAGAGAAGGTCAACCTAGAGGCGCAGCTTACAGGAGCAAAGTGTGAGCTGGAACAACTCAACGAGCAACTAAAAAATGCTGATGTTGAGAGAATCAAAATGAAAGAGAGTTCAGCTGTCGTGGTTGAAACACTTGAACAGCAAATACGGGGTCTGGGTGGTGAGCGCACCGAGTTCGAAATGCAACTTCAAACTTTGAGAGCAGAGATTCATCTTTTAAATGAGAAGATCATCCAAAATGCTGCAGAGAGAGTAGAAATGGAGATAGATGCAGAGACGCTGAATCAGAAAGTGACGGATCTGGAGAATCGTACTTCTGAGTTAGACCAGGGCTTTAATGTGCTGATCGAAGAGAAGGGTCGAATGGTCAGCGATCATGCTAGTTTACAACAGATCTTAGAAAAGACACGTGAAGAGAAGATGCAACTTGAGTCGGACCTTCTGTTGATACAAGAAGATCTGCTCAAGCTCAAGGATGAGAAAGCTCAAGTTGAATCAGATAGGGAGATTTCACTTCAGAAACTTAATGACACAAGTATCAAGGAGGAAGTTTTAGTCAACCAGCTCAAAGAGTCTCAGGATGCTTTGGAAAAAGTTAGTGATGAGAGCAGAAGCCTGAAGCTAGAGCTCAGTTCTGTGGCGAGAAAATTGTATGAATCCGTAGCTTCGAATGAAAAGCTCGTTGGTGATGTACAGTCCCTGCAAGAAAGGCTTCAAGCAGCCGAGGAAATGAAATCTCATATTGAGATTGAGCTTAAAGAATCATTTGCGGAGTTGAATGACAGTACTCAAGACAAGACCTCGTTAAACAATCAGCTGAATAGTCTTCTTCAGAATGTCCAGGTTTTGGAAAATGAAAAACTCGAGTTACAAAGCCGAGCGCAACAGCTTCAGGAATCTGTGAAACAGAAAGAGGAGGAGATGGTACTGTGTAAAGAAGAATGGAGGCAACATGAGGTCAATAGTTCTGCCAAGGAGGAACTGGAGGACTTTGGAAATGTGAGCCCTGGGAGCCATGCTGCAAATATAAAACTTGTTAAAAAACTAGTTGAAGTCTTTGAGGGTAAAGTCAGTGATGACATACTTATCCAGAATCAACGTGGCTTGTCGTCTCCTGTCTCAGAATTTTTTATCCAGGTAACACTCTTATGTTACTTTGATTTCTGTTCTAGTCGTGCTTTATGCTAGGTTTCCTTTGATCTCATCAGTTGCTTATCTGTGACCGTTTTCTTGCACAATTATTTTTCTGAAAATAATGAAACTTGTAGGCACAAGCTATGAAGAAGACATCAGATGACTTGCAACGAGAACGAGATGCTGCTGTGCAGGCAGAATCAACTCTTCGTGCGGACTTGGTCGAATTGCGAAAACAGTTCCACGATTTGAGTGAGGAGAGGGTTAGACTTCAAACACAGGTTACAGAACTACAGGAAGAACTGGCAATTGCAATTGCAGATTGCAGAAATTTAAACCATAATATTGAGCGTTTGAGGGATGAAGCTGAGCAAGGCGTGAAAATGGTTGCTATACTTGAGAGAGACAAGTGTGCGTTACAAGCAGAGACTCTTGAGCTCGTAGAGAAGTTGAGAGCAGCTGAAGAAACAGTGCTAGAGGACCGAGCTTTGAAACAGACTTTGCAGGGACGATCTGAAGAGCTAGAGGCAAAGCTCCAAGCTGAGAGAGATGTTCTAGAGAAAATGCTGAGTAGGTTGAATATCTTGACTATTTACATTGAAGAACATGTGTTTACCTACGTTCCCGAGCTTGTCTGGACAAGCGATGCTGCCGACATAGTTTCGCAGGTTGAATACAAAGTGACTCTTGTGGTTAATAGGGTCCTCCCTGGCTTGATTGCGAAATCTAATACCTTGGAGGAAGAGCGGGATTTGGCCAGGACAGCTCTGTACAACATGACAGACGATAATAATATGCTTCAAGTAGAGAGGAATGGTCTCATTTCAGAAAAAGAAGTCTTGAAGGCTGAGATAGAAAGAATGATGATAAGTGAGACGGAAGCAAGAGGAGAGTATGAAGAACAAGTCAAGGTTCTGATTTCTAGCTTGGAGGAGGCAGAGAATCGATTACAGTCAGTCAAGAATGACTGCACTGATTTTGAGAAGAAGCTACAAGTAGCGCTTAATCAAGGATTTCCGGATCATGATGTGGAGCCACCTGGAACTCCTATGAACACATTGGGTGTTTGCTGGTTTCTGGTAGAAACAATGCTTGAAATTTCTTCAAAGAAGCTTCAAGACGTGCGGACAGAGTTCTCGCATGCAAGCTCTGAATTTGATAACCTGTTAGCAGAGGAAAGATTGCAGCATCAAGCAAGAGTTGAGGATGTAAAAGCTGATAGAGAGGTGTTGCGGCAAAAAGTAGAGGAACTTTCTGAAAAGGTCAAGTTGCTCGAGGAAGAACGAACTCTGCTTCACGAAGAGCAGAAACGAGTTAGTCATGAGTTTCGGGCCCAGTTGGAGATTGAAGCGAAATCCAATGAGTTTAGTCGGGAAAAGATTCAGGTGCTTGAATCTAATGTGTATAGTCTACAAAAAGACTTAAAGGAAACGAAAGCAGAGGACATTGAAGTTAGGCGTGCGTTTGAAAGGGATATTAATCTGCTGAAGTCAACGTTTGAGGCCGCCCAAACTGAGTTAGACAAAGTTAAAGAATCACATGTTCGTTTCGATGAAAAATTGGAATGTGCAGCTCGCGTAGTTCTTCCAAATATTGACATCAAGCCAGTTGATTTTGAAGACAACCTATTTGATTACTCCTGGGCTGTCGTGAATTTGATTCTTGAAGAATATTCTCAGAAGCTACAAAATGTACAGTTAGAAGCCACGGAAGTGCAGAGCAGGGTTAATATAGACAGAGAGAGAGAATTTCAATCGTTGCAGGAGCAGGTGCGAAGTATCACAGCAGAGCTTGGTGTGGCAAAAGAAGAGAAGCGTGTTGCACAATCAGAACTTGCACAATCAGAGAAGAGGTTGGCTACCTCTAAAGAGAGACTCACACTAGCTATTAACAAGGGGAAGTCAATTGTTGTCCAAAGAGATGCTGTGAAAGCAGCTTTGGCGGAAAAGACTGCAGAGCTTCAACGAGTTGAATCCGACCTTAAAGAGGTAGTTCAAGTCCCATTTTCCTGTGATTTTATGCATGGTCCACGGCCTGTGATTTTATGAATACCTCTCAAGTGCGACGAATTTAAAATAACTGCTGTAATTCATTTCTCGTTGTACACGTTTTCTTTATATATATATTGGTGTGGCAAACAAGCCTTCCACTTTTTTGGCTCATTTTTTCTTTCTTTATTTTCGTCACCTGAAATTAGAAAGTAAGATTCTGTTCGATCACTTCAAAGTACCTTTTTTTTGTGATTGTTTTTTGCAGGTTATAAAAGTCAAGGATATTGCTTTGCAAGAAGCAGAAGCAGCAGCGATTTCCTTGAAAGCCATCGCTGATCAAGCAGATATCTTGAAGGCGAAATTGGTTGAAAATCACGAAATTTCTGCAAAACTTGAGAAGTCTCTGTCTGAGACGATTAGTGCCCTCAGGAATTTGGAGACTATGATAGATGAAATCACCTCTGGTGCAGGTGGTGCAGCACAAACAAGAGTAGCCAAGCTCGAGTGGGTGGGTGCAACACTGAAGGATCTTAAAATGCGCCTCAGTTACCTTGAAGGCAAAGCAGAAAGTCTTATTATGGATCTGTCAACTGTATCAAATGAGAAGGAAGTTGTCGTGCAGAAATTACACGATGCTACATTGAAATGTAATCAGCTAGAGCAGGTTATCGAAGAAGATGCATTGAATGTAGTAGCACTGAAGTCCAAGATTGAGAGCTTGGAGGAAACTGTTGTTGTAATGAAAGCTGAGGCCTCGCTGCATATAAATCTGCAGCACCATGTTAGTAGGGCAATTGGGATGCTAGAGTCTTCTGGGCAGGTAAGTCTTTCGAACGCAGCAAAGAGTTATGAAAGCAACAGTTTGAATCCACACCTACATCCTTTCAACATGGTTTGTTTTGTTCCGAGGACATGTTCCCAATCCTGTAGCTATCGGATCGATGAAGTTTGATTGTGGAGATATTTTGGAGGTTTTGAAGTTGTTCCTTTGGGCTGTTGAGTTGTTGTGAACTCCACTCTGACTAGTTTTGGATAAGAAGGGGCTTGGACGAAGTCTTTGTGGGTGCGCGGAGTCGCAGCAGAAAGATGGAATATCTGTACAAGTGTGTTGTTTTGAGGTCATCACTTACTGCCCAGCTGGGTTGGTGCTCAAGAACTGCTTCCGCTCTGATGCAGGACCTTGAAGCAGACCCGGATTTGTCGAATGAGTCAGAACTGCTTGCAGCTACAACGTCTTTTGTGAACAAATACAAAGCTGTTGTGCATGAATCGGAGGAGCTCAGGAAACGATGCAGTTTTCTCAGCGATGCACTTGACAAGTCTGACGAAGAGAAATCTTTGACTTCAGGTGTAAAACTTCAGAGCTTGGAGGAAATGCTACAGTCCCGAGATTTGGAATTGAAAGACATGATGTTGAGGTTGGAAGATGCCAATAGAGTGATTTCTGACAAAAGCAGTGAGATAGAGGCATATATGCAGAGTGACCAAAGACTTAGCGAGGACCTGGTTAAGAGCAAAGAGGAGCTGGGGACTGTAGAGCAGAAGATGAAGGTCTTGAAGAACGAGTTACACGAAGTAGTGACCTCCTTCAACACCCCCTGGGAAGAGCGTGATTCACAGGCTGAAGTAGTCGCACACTCGGTGTGCGAAACGATCACGGAAGTGGAGTCGTTAATGAAGACAGTTGTGGAGCATGTGCAAAGGAGGGAGAGTGAAATACAAGACGCGAACGAGAAGGCAATGGCTGCATTGATGCTGGATTCGCACGCGTCAAAAGAACTCGTGGCGAAACTCGAAGAGGAGTTTCTGGAGTGTAAGACTGTAGCACAGGAGATAACCTGGTTGACGGGGCCTCCTCCGTCGTCATCGTCATTACTTGATTGGGTCACGTGTCTAAATGGTGCTCTTGAAGAAGAACACCAAAAGGTAGAGCGAGCTTCTGAAGAGATAGAGGCGCTGACAAAGACGACAGAAGAGAAAGCGTTTCAAGTGCAAAAATTGGAAGGTAAAGTGGAATCATTATCTGCAGAGGTATGTAAGGGACAACAAGAGAAAGAATCAGTTGTTGATGAGCTGCGAAAGACAGAAGTCGAGCTTCAGAGAAAAAAGGATGAGCTTGAAATATTGGCAGCGAAGAATGTTGGCCTGGAATCGGAGATGAAGTCTGTACGAACTATGCTTCAAGTGCAAAATGCGTTGATGGGATTTGAAGACGTTGTGGAACATGTCCGCTTGCAAGGCGGACCTAGTTCGATTGCATCCCCAACGGAATGGATATCATGGCTCATTCAAGCCTTCCGAGATAATCAAAACGTGCTTACTGAAGCTCAGCAACAGTTGGAAACCTTGAAAAGTACCAGCACTATGATTTCTCTTCAAGTCGAGGAGGTCAATGCCAAATATTCAAGTGCTTGCGAAGAATTGTCAGATGAGAAAAATAAAAATGAAATCCTACAGTTTAAGCTAAGAGAGCTTCATGAGACGTTTGCTGTGGAGAGGGATTCTCTTAAGGCTGAAAATCGGGTGCTCAAAGATTCGTGTGTGAAGGTTAGCAGCCGTGATTTTGAGTTCTCAGAAGCCCAGAGAACAGCTACGAACCTTCAGGAAACGCTTATTTCTAAGGAGAAGCAGTTTTCTGAGCTTCACAACGAGATTGAGGACCTTCTTTCCAGATACGTGGAACAGGAGTTGAAGCTGCAGGTCAGTAGTTTAATAAGGTTACTAGTATCGTTATTTTTGTAGAACTTGGTCTGAAGAACTAATCGCTTATGAATGTAGCATAATCATAGAAGATGTTAGTTACAAGTTGTGAATAGCGGACTTAAAATGCTGATTTCAAACGCTTCCTTGAAGGTATCTTCATGAGTTTCTACAGAATACTCGGTAGCTATCTCTCTCTGTCTCGCTCTCTGTCTAGCTCCCTCCCTCATAACTTCTAGATGTTTTACGTCATAATCCTTTCAAATTAATTTCGAATAGAAAATGTATTGTAGTAGTTTCTCTGTCAGAAGGAGCTATCTTACTGAACTGCTTGATTTGATGCGATTTTAATGTTCGTTGGATAAGTTGATGTTCGTTGATATTGTACCATAGCTCTGATTTTTTCTTATCTTGTTGATTTGTGTTCTTAGTCTCTGATTGAGGAGAAGGAAGGACTCAATTCTGAGCTCGTGAAAGTAGAAGCTGAAAGGAACAGCCTTCGTATCGAACTGGCGAATGAGAAAAGCACTGCACAGTCAGATGTGACTCAGCTTGAACAAAAGCTTGTAGTTGTACGAGAGAAACTTAGTCTGGCTATCAAAAAGGGCAAAGGGCTTGAGAAGCAACGAGATTCCTTGAAACAGTCATTGGCGGAGGAAACAGCCAAAATCAAAGTGCTCGAACAACAACTAGGTTCATGGAAGGAGTTACTAGATGAGGAAGCAGGCAAGTGCCAAGGGCTCAAAGAGCAACGAGATTCCTTGATGCAGTCATTAACGGAGGAAACAGCCAAAGGTAAAGTGCTCGAAGATCAACTAGATTCATTGAAACAGTCGCTAGATGAGGAAGTAGGTAAAGGCAGAGTGCTCAGAGAACAACTAAATCCCTTGAAGCGGTCTCTGGCGGAGGAAACCGCCAAGGTAGAAAGTATTATCGTATCATACACGAATGAAATCCAGATCAGGGATGCAGAGCTGCTGGAGTCAAGAGCTCATGCTAAAGCTTTGGTTGAACAAGTTCATGAATTGCGTGAAAAAGCCACTTTGTCCCAGAAACTGAGTGAAATAGAGCGTGAAAAACTGCAAAGTGCTCTTTCCCGCATAGAGATTCCAAGCAATGTTCTTTCTAAGGTCACCGTAGAGAAAGTGGAATGGCTGGTTTCACTGCTTGAAGACACTCGTAATACTGCAGATTATCTCGAAGTTGAGTTAGGTGATAGCAAGAGTGCTTTGGAGACTCTTAAGACAGTGCTGACGGATACTGAAGAGAGGCTTCAATCCGTTACTGTTGAGTACTTAAAAGCAGAAGACACTAACTCCACGTGGGTCAAGAAGTTGGAAGAACTTGAAAGCAGGACTGCTTTTGATCGAAAACAGCACGAGGATGAAGTTGACAGTCTCACTCGGGCTTTGAAGGAGGCTGATATGCGACAACAGGCTGCTTCTAGTCGTGTGAGGGAGTTGGAAAAGCTTGTTGAAAAGCAACAGAACACTATTACTGCATCCGAAGTTGCACGCTCAAAATCAGCCTCAAAACTGGCTTTTACTCGTAACAAGCTGAATTTACTCGTGCAGCAAAGTCAGGAGCTTGTTAGAGAATGTGAAAATCTGCACAAGAGTCTCCAGGAGCGGAATGCTGAGATTGTAGAGTTGAACCTCGAAATCTCTCGACTTAAAAATATTATCCAAGATGAGCAGAGTCAAAGAATGGGAATCGGTTCCATGGCAAGTTCTCAGCTTACACTTCTTCAAGAGGAACTTGCGAGAACTAGTGAAAAGTCAGCTGCAATTGTCAAGGAGTTACGGGAACAGCATGTGACATTAAAAAGGATTGTGGAAGAGAAAGACGATGAGATAAGAGGTGTTCAGAAAAAGCTTCTAGAGATACTAGTGTATGGTGACAGTGTAGCCTGGATGGAACATACTATCACGAATCAACACAAAGGTGATGACATTTTGGTAGAAGGAGATGCACGAAATGTAAATGGAGATCTAGATTTGGCCTCTGTGATTACTGTTATTGGACAGAGATTCGAAACACTGGTTGCAGGCGCCCATGCATGGAAGAATAGTTTTGAGAAAAAGGATGCTCAATTACAGAAGTTGAAGAATGAATTGTACAACGTAACTATGGAGAAGGCATCATTACATGCAGATATACTTGCAAAGACAAAGGAGATAGAGCGGTTACAGAGTGAAATAAGCACAAAAGATATACCTGTGGGAGGAAGTTCCTCAAGTCAATTTGAGATAGAGGAATTGGTAAGAATTCTATCTTTTGATGCTACTCATAGTTTGATACGCGATACAGCTACTCGACTTGATTGACAGTTTTGAATCTCTCGAACTTGACGACTTTGTAGGCTTGATGTTGTAGCTGCTGGTTTTCGATTCAGATGACGAGTTTTGCTTCTTTTTACTCCTGTTTTTATGTCATGACTTGTCTGCGTTCATTATTTGGTTCCTTTACTACTTCAAGTATGATCATGCCAATATGCTGTTAAGATTACGTCTAGAGATCAGGAGTTCTGGCAGAACAACTAAGCTCATATGCAAGACACTGTTTCTAGAGAAAGCCGCTTCAAAGCCAATATTTTTTTTACCAATATTAACACTCCAAGTGTAGCTTAAAGTATATTTTTTTAAATCTTTGCTTGCTTGCTTTTGGTTTCAGGAGACAAGGAGCAATCGTATAGGTCTCAAAATTCCTGTCACTCCCCAAGTGCGGAGTTCACGGCGTCAATCTCAGTCAGAAATTGCAATCGACATGGATGAGGGAGACGACTCTTATTTGCTTTCAGACATGGATGATAAAGGTTTGTACCGACTTGGTGCAAGTTCCTACTTAACCTCCTTTTGCGCAGGAAATGTGCAACATGTAAAGAATTGTCAGACCTGAAAATAGTGGCTGCGGTTTGGAGCATGCAGTTTTTCTAAACATGCTCCAGCCTCACGTATAGTGGTACATAGTATCAATAATACGGTAGCATTGGTATATTCCTCGAAAGGTACTAACTGATCGCACAAATTTTGGTTTCAGGGCATGGATTTAGTGCATTGTCAAACTCAAGACTAGTACCGAAGGCCACAAGACTACTTGCTGACAAGCTTGATGGACTGTGGTATGCCAAACTAATTTTTTTCACTTATTTGAAAAGTTTGTATGCTGATATTACTTTTTGGCTTGAAAACTTTGGCTTCAATCAATTTTAGTGTTGTGATTTTTGTTAAATATGTACTTATGTATATTTACACACACGTACACACACATATCTTTGATGCGGTATGAAGGTTCTAAATTCAAATGCTGCATTGAACTCACAGGTTTGCCGGAGGCAGGATACTAACAAGACAACCCTCAGCAAGGCTAGGCCTTGCAACATATTGGATATTGATACATGTCTACGTGGCCATGTGTTTCTTTAGTCATTTTGTAACTCATTCATAATCAACCCGCGGATTGGACATATCATGTGCTTCCTACGCCTCTCGTAGAATCTTGTAAACGTGTGGGTGCCCGGTATGAGGTTTGGTTCTTCACACTGCTCTTTATCTTATTAGAACGTCAACCTACATTACCACCCTTTGGTTCTGCATGGTTCGGCAAGAAATAGCCAAGTCGTGTACTCCATAGACCCTGCAGATGTGGTAGAGTTAATGGCCAGTTGAAACTTGTAGACTGTGATTCAACCTCTTGTCATGTTCGGTAATTAGCCGGCCTTGTTTGCGGTGGAACTTCTGTTAGCAAAGACTGACAGTCATATTATGCCGTTACGTGCAGGAATTGAGTGCACTACAATATTGCGGCCCAATGTTTTTGAGCATGTGCAGTAACTATTATTGCTCCAAAACTCTGCGCTAGCATCAGCTACAATAAGGTCGTATTTGCTCTTTTTGTAGCAGAGTGTATGTGCACTCCTTGTCAAATTTTCAGTGCACTCAAATTCGCATTCGAGTTGGAAAATCTGTAGGGTGGTTTACATTGATAACTTTCTAGGGGTTGTAGTTTTGTACCATATGAGCTCTCATTATTATGAGGGTTAGAATCAAAAACGTATGTTTGACCTGCAGATCTCAAGTTTATTTCTTTGAGCCACATATTACCTTGGTATAGAAGTGTTCAGAGATATCTGTTTTTATGTTTTAGGTTTTCCTGCTTGCGCTGCACATTTAATGTCGATTTTATGGAGCTGTGTGTGTAGAAGAAACACTAGCATTGCAGCTTAGCAGGGAAAATAAATTAAATAAAGTCAACTTCTGAAGTCATAGTGAATTCATTTCGGAAGTCGTTTGAAGCCATCGACAATGGATTTTCTTACCTCTCCAGCACGTTGCTCGATGGACGAACCTCGACTCCCCGTGGGAATGAAGTGCTTCAGACTTCCTGCATTTGGTCATTACATAAAACGTTTCAGTGAAGTGCTGAAGACATGTCCTTATTTCAACATCTTCTATGAGTAAAATATGACGACATACGAGCCGGGAACAGCATTTGAAATGAGATACTATAAACAAAAATGAAATTACAGCCATCAAGTCTACATTTTTAAAATATTTTCCTATAAGTTGTAGCTGATAGTTTTTTGATTTTAGAGTAGCCAGCTTAAATTTGTTTTTGTGTTTTTTTAAAGTAATGTACAATTTATTTTTAGCACACTTAAATTTTTACCATGCTATTACTTACTGTCCTAGTTTTCATTAAAACTAAGAAATCAATAATTTCAATAATAAAACAAAACAAAAAAAATAAAATAAATGAAGGTAAATGTTGGAATAAGAACTAGTTGCAACACTAATCCTGTGTCAGCCAGTAGCGACGCAAGAGAGCCTATTGTTTAGGGATTTCCTTGCTGATAGTTCATCTACTATTTTAATATAAAATGAGATACACCTTGCAAGAGTAGCAGGTATTTGAGGTATATGTTTGATTTTGGATACCGTGTCCAAGTCTAGTTATGAAGAGTCTCATCTTGAGCGGTCATGAACGTTCATCCCCTTGTCTGGTCCTTGACTTGTGCATCGCATCTCTCGTGATTGCCACTAGCAGAGTTTCGGCCAACCAGGTGACAACGTGTTGCGTGGCTACTTTGTTTACTTCTCGAAGCACACGAGTCGACACGTTCCTTTGGTAGAGACATTGGGTAATACACGAGAAGAGACACACAAAGCCGAGAGAAGGAGAGAGAACGAGCACCATGGCCTCAAGATGAGAAATGAAGTCAGGCAAATCTTTGAGTAAATGACTATGGGGAGTATTGAGCCGTTTGCAGGATTTAGATGAGCGTCTAGCTTGAGAGATTTGACAGTTGGAGGTTGCAGATGAAGAGGGCTATGACACGCCGCCTCGCAACCCCACCAGCGGATCTTCATTACTCTAAGAAGCGCCGTAAGGAGCGTGGAGCACTCGTCTCTATAGATTCCCCTTGCCAGCATCAGAGTAAATGCTCCAATTCTAGGCAATGACCGACAACGACGCCCACCGTGGGAGAGCTACACAATCAGCGTTCTTCACTGCTCCTCGAGCAAATCAGAGACCGTCGAGGGAGCACCTCATTCACCACCACTGAGCGCTCCTAACGTAACTCCCAGCATGGGGTGCCTATAGCGTCAACTTGGACCACAGCTCGACACACCTCGAGGCTGCCTCCAGCTTCTGATGCCACGTTTCTCATAGAAGTTCCACTGTACCACCAGCTCGGGTCTCGGAATCAACCCTTCAACTGGAGCATCATCTTGTACTTACTCAACGGACCACATTGCTATCATTTACATCGTATTTGTTGAGAATTTAATTTAGCTGGAGCTCTCCATAGTTACAAGAAATACTGTAGCTACAGTATTTAGAATGTAGCATTGAGAAACTGTTTATCTTCTCCTCTTTGTATACAAGTGAGAGAACCACATCAATACATAGTTTTTTTTAGAAGCTCTTTCTTCCTCTATATACTTTCTTGTATATGTGTGTATTTTGTGTGTGTGAGCACATTACTTCTAGGTACTCTTATGTCTCTCTAAAACATTCTCAACACATTATCAACACAACTGCTCCTATGCACTACTCTTGGTTTTTAAAAACTTTTTAGAAAGCACTTCTTTTCCTTTGTCATCATTTTGTATGTGTATTGTAACATTAATATTTGAAAACAGAAGATCTAGCCAAGCTTTGGGAGAATCTTAAATCTAGGTTTGATCATCCAAAGACCATTTTCCTTCTATGTGTACGTCATGATTGGACACATTTATGTATCTTGGATTTTCAAAATTTAAATATTTTCATTAATGAAAGATATCGTATTGTCTCACAACTATGATTGTATGGACAAAGCATCTCTGAAGAAGGAATGATTGAAAAAACTCTCTTTATATTTTCTCTTGTATTTGCTATATTTAGATAATAATATAAGAATATAAAATTTTAAAGTCATCTTGATTTCATATCCCATCTACTTTTTGTGGAGAAACAAATTAGTTACTTTTGCATAATGCAGAAGCTCATCTTGTTGGAACCATGGTTCTCGAATCTCATGCACTTAATATTTCAAAGTCTAAGAAAAAAATATACAAACATGGAAAAGGTACTCATAAATCATGGTCATGATCATTTCTATTCATATCAAAAGAATAAACAGTCTACTATTAATTATAGTAGAAAAAAAAATAATCAAAGATGCATTCTTGTGATAAATGTGGCATAATTGGATATTTAGCACATACATGCCGTATTTCAGAATACTTTGTTAAAATGTTCCAAAAAAATAAGAAACTTTGAGTTGAGGCTCACGAAGTTTATACCATGGATGTGTCCATGGACTTAATTAATATTGATGATTTAGAGGCTTATATGAATGACAAAACCTTTAATAATGAGTCAAATGATGTGCTCCTTGATTCTATAATAATACATATTATTCTGCGAGATAGATGATTTTTTACTAAAAAATCCTCAACTTGGAAATTTAGAAATTTGATGACTATGGCTAGAACAAATGCATTTCGTTTTCAGGAGAGAATAACAATCATAAAATTACCTATGGGCTTCATCATAAAATATAAATATGTAATATTTGCACCCTCAGCACTTTGAAATCTTATTAGCTATCGAGATATGCATGCCAATAGTTATCACCTCTCAATTGTCATTCTAGATAGGTAAGAGATTTTGGTTCTTATATAGAATCATAAAGTTGTTGAAAAAACCTTTGATGTAACAAGTCGTTTATATTAGATTGCAATGTGGCCTCCCATTATATTTAATTTTACATCATCTATCACAAAGAGTGGCATTTTTCTCTGACATAGATGGTTGGTACATCTACGATCTACATTATTTTAAAAGATAATTCCATATATAATTGGGCATAATTTAAAACCTGTAGATGCAGATTCTATAAAATTATGTCATGCATGTATGCAAGGAAAGATGATTGCTTAGCTTTTAATTTGAAAACTTCCACAAGAATTACCACTAATGCTTGACAGATTGCATGATAATATCAACTTGGAAAATTTGGATTAAATTATTTATTGCTATTATGGATTATTGGTCTTTTGGAGGCATTTGGTCAGATATGGCTTCAGATCCTTTCTCTTAATAAAGTTTGGTTTTGTATCTTTTTGTTTAGATCTATTTTGTTCTATTTCTATTTGCTCAATTTTGTCTTTCATGTCTTATTCTATTTAGTCCCGTTTAATTTTATTCTAGTTAGTTTTGTCCTATTTTGTGATAAGGCCTTATGTTATTGTTGATTGGAAGGATCTTATATTTTTGAAATAGTCTAATTCTACTTCATTGGTATTAGAGTGAGTGTTAGATTCTTTATCTTTGGTAGCATGTCAATAGTCATCATTTAGTCTAAGGTCAGTTGTTGTAGTTACACCAAGAACTATGTTGAGGGTACCATGAGCTATTCTTAAAAACTCAATTAGGAGGTGAAAAGATATTATAATAGTGGAGTCCAATAGAGAAATTACAGTATGAAAGATATGGCGAAGGAATCCCACATAGAGGCTCAAATATAAGACCTTTTAAGCTAGATAGCTACTTTGTAAGGAAAAATAGAAGTCTCGAGGATAAGAGAGTTAACATCTGCTAGATTGAAATTGAGTAAGCTTAGTACATACTCTGGAACTTCAAGACAAGAAGATGCATGTCAATTGCTCTTCAATATGCAACAATACCTCCAACTATCTGGAACAAATATCATTGAAGGAATTATATATGGAGCGAGCTATTTGAGAGATGTGACAACTATTTGGTGGCGACATCAAATTCAAAGTTATAGAACTCAAGGGGGATTTTGTGGCTTAAAAGAGTTTGAGCTCAAGTTTAGGAATCAATTTTGGCCCATCAATACAGAAAAGATAGCATGCAAATCTTACATAAGCTAGGTTGGTACAAGATTATGTCTCTTGATTCAAGTCCATATATCTCCAAATTCACAATGTTTTAGAGGTAGAGATGATGGATTGATTCCTATGAGGTTTGAAACTTGGAGTCCAGTGAGAGGTGGAGCTAAAGGATCCATAAACATTCAAAGAGGTAATTTGGATTACAGAGAGGGTCAATGCTATAGATTTCAGAAATCATGGAGTATGACCTATAGCTCGAAGTCCTATGTTGTTATCTAATATTATGGCAGAATTTCTAATACTAATGGAGATTGATGTCTTACAAGGATCATTGATACTACAAAGACAACAAGTATTGATGCAAAAAGGATTGTATTTCTATTCTCAAGAGCCAAGCCATCAGATTAGAGGTTTTCTAAAACGTCAAAGTATAAGTATTAGTAAGACAAGGCGAGTTCATAGTCTCAAAACTCACCAAGTCGATAATAACTCAGAGCAGGAAAATAGAGCTCTTCAGTATAGGCACCAAAGGTACAAATGGCATAGCCTAAAATAACTATAAAAAAAATTGACTAATGCATCTAACATGACTACTAAGAGGACAACCATGTCAAGTGCTTGTAGATTGTGGCTCTACAAAAAATTACATCTCAATTGAGATTACCAATCGGCTTGGAATTAAAACCAAGAAAAACAAAGGAGAGAGTATATATCTTGCAAATAACCGAGAGAATGTATTGAGTGAGACATATGAAAAAGAAACCTTAAGATTGACAAATATCTACGTTTCAAGAGAGAAATTTAAGGTTACAAAGCTAAGGTATGATATTATCTTTGATATGCCATGGCAAGAGATGGAAAATAAACAAATTAATTGAATAAGAAAGACAATCTTTTTTAAACATAAAGGATGCAAGGTGATTCTTCG